CCCTCTCCCCCATCCCTGCCCACACTGACACATGAAATAGCACGCCCTGTTCCACTTACTGCAAATTAACACAGCCTGCTCCTTTATAACCAGCTGTCAGAATCTGTCACCAATTCATTTCTTGCCTTCACAGCTTCAGAGGTAAAGGCAAAAATTACAGATGATCTCTTCTACTGGGACTCTAGCAAAAGAGTTTTTTTCTGATAGGAAATAATTTTGCAGGTTTCTTTCTACGGGTGAAAGAGATCAGTACAGTAAAGATATCTGTAAGCATCAAGATTTGCTGCAGTAGCATCTTAATAAGACCGTCAAGGTTGAAAGCCAATGCCAAGCTTTTAGTCATTTTCATAATCCAGATCACAAAGGTTAAGATTAAAGGCCTGTTCTTACTTGGTGTTGAAGGAGATCTCAAGTTTTCCTTTTAATCTGACAGCTTTAGAATTGAACTAAAGTCATCTGCGAGGGCTGCATATAGATGGACCGACATGGCAAAACACATTCAGTAGAATAGTATTAACACTTGAATTTAAAAGCAGCAGGGATATAGCACCTTGAGTTCTAATTTGTACAATCACTGTACAATGAACACATCATCGGACAGTTGGATTCTCAAGCAGGCATAGCTTCAACAGAGTAACTATTCTGTACAGCTGCACTAAAGGATGAGAAGTCATTAAGCAGAGATCTGAGAAAAGCTTTGAGGTACTTGCTGCTTTTAAGAATTAATTTAGTTTCTCTTCGTCACTGTATATTGATTTTAAAGGGAAAAAAGGATACATATTGCTATTAATGAGCAAGCTTCTACAGACAATATGATGATACTATTGCCTAGTCACCTCTGTCAGCATAACTTAGAGACAAACCTTGAGCGTTGTCCTCTCTTTGCATCGTTGTCTTTAAATACAACTTCCCGCCCTTTCTTCTCACTTTACTGTAATTCTAAAGACTACTTTACACTTGAAAGCTTTTTTTGGCATAGCTGAACATGTCACACAATCACACCCATAACTGATGTAAAATGTACTTGGTTAGATGCAGTTATACCAGCAAATATCAGTAATATGTATGTACATTTTGAACTAAACTAGCTAAAGATAGTGACGCCCTTTCCCAGCAGACATCTTTTGCTTATTCACAAGGCCTTAGCCTAAATCCTTAGATTTTCTCTTATGAAAATAAACCTTTGGTCACAATCATACTAAGACAACTACATATTTCAAAAAAAAAAACTACCCCAAGGAAAATCAGATGAACATAAATGAGATGCCAATTTTAAGATCTGAAGCTTGATTTGTTGACAAAGTAAAATTACCTTTGTATTAAGAAAAATGCAGCAAGTTTGCAATCAGTTTGCAGTTTCATCTGTGAATGTTTTTTGAGTAGTTCCTGAGCAATTAAGAGTTCTGTTTTTCTCTATTGTTGGGATTTCAAAGGAACTCAGCAGACTTCTGCATGAATTTGGTGAATACAGCCAGATTGATTGCCAATTTTAAGTGATTTTATGTGTGAATAGTATGGATTCCTTTCTAACTCGAAAATAGTTTTCAAAAATCAGAGCAATATAGCACATTAAGTTTTGCAATGCTCTATCACTACTTTTACTTCGGATTAACTAGGAAATCAATTAATACAGTGTTAACCAAATTGCCTTAACTAAGTTAATAGAACACTTTTATTTCCCCGTCTCTGCTGGCTGAGAGGTGATACAAACACCAGAACCAAGAAAACAGCAGAGCATGGGGTCAGAAGACAGGACCAGGAACGGCCCTGTGGCTGGCAGTAAGCTGTCAGACCAGCCCATACCATCTCATCTACCTGAACACTTACCATTGATTCCCAGGCAGTTACAGACTTCCCTTTCTATCACACAGAACACCAAGGCTGTCAAGATACATGGGTTTTCTTCAAATTTACATTATGGCAGGTGTCTTGCGTTTCTCTGGTCTTGCTGCTTCTGGGCACAAGAAACAAGACTTTTCCAGCTGGTCTATGTAATTGAAAGCATCACTTTATTTACTAATGCAGACTACAGGAATCATCCCAAGTTTTCTTTTCTACATTAAGTGTTCTGAACATCCAGAATCTATTGAACAAGCAATATATAAAAATGCGGGATGGCAGGCGAGAGCTAGCGAACAGCTCTGCATTTCTTATTTTTTATAGAATCCAGTGTCCTGTGGGTCAAAGGAGCAAACTGAGATGTGTTTCTCACAGGTAGACAAAGATCAAAGCACTTTTAACTCTTTACAGCAGAATAGCCACGTTATTTCCTGTTCTCTCAATCCAGAATATTCAGTCAACTATCTCGACTGAAGGAAGGCAATGTCATGTTTCGCAATGTAAAAATTAGTGCTGAGAAAGACTGTCACATATTGAGGAAAAGAATGAAGACCACCAACTTGGTAAAAACACCTGGAACAATACTTGAGAAGTAACAAAAAATTCCAACTGAAGACCAAAATGTCGTACAAGGATACACACATGTCTGTAGAGACACACACACTCACAGATCTGCAGGTTTTGTGCTGGATAAATGTCAAGAAAGCTTGCAATTCAGTGTCAGCAAGTATTACACGCAGATGGAGATAGCAAGGGGAGAAATTTACCCCTGAAAACATCTTCCCAGAAGTCTCTCATCTCTGACTTCTCATAACCTTCTTCCTCTTCTGTGGTAGCCCCCTTGTCTGCTCCTCTGAATCTGTGTGAGTTGAGAACTTATTTTTAAGTACAGGCTCTCTTAAACAAGGCATATTATTTTAAATTGAGGCCTAGATGTGCAATACAGCGTGTATCCACATACACACACATAATACATGCACATATTAAAAATGTAAGACACTTGTGCAACACTTCAGCACAACCAATAAACATACATCATCATTCTGTGAATATTTTCTACCAAGAACTATTCTGTTCCTGGACGAATGCTAGGGAACACGGCTGTGCAGGTATGATTATCTTGTTCAGAGAAGTAGCCATGGAAAAGGGCTGAGAAAATACATACATCAGCAACGTCAACTTGAAACCTCAATCCCTTCTGATGCAATACTCTATTTTTGCATTCCTCACCCCCCCCAACTGTTTAATAAAGCATTTTAATAAAGTTTTTTTCATAGCAGTAAACAATACATATACCAAATGCACTGACCCTTCTATTAAGAAACAATAAATATTTCAGCTGCTTTTCCTTATATAAAAGAGTAAAATTTCTACAAAGCCAGAGGAACAGTAAGTCATCTTACTTTCTTTGTACTCCTCTAAATTCTTTAGCAGAATTAACTCTTAATTATTAATATTCGTTCTTCTAAAACTATTACAAAGAAATAGCTTTACAGAATATTGAGTACTTTAAAGATTAGATCAATAACCACACTGGTTACTTAAATCTTTACTGATAAGAAATTTGATTTTTCAAACAAATCTGCCCACAGTATTGCTGACTGCATTACATTTCTGACAGTAGAGAGATATCCTAACTAGACGTTAAAGTTGCTTGATGCAGAGCAGCACTGTGAAGGAAACTTAATCTGAGTATAAACATAATTTACAGTCTAACATCTCTTTACCAAGGCAATATAAAGTATTTATAGTACTAACGAAGATTGGCTTGTACATTTCAGATTTGAAATAGTGGTACAAGCATGAAAAATTTGGCCCACGGTCTTTATATGACCTAGAGCATCAGGCTGGGCAACAGATTAAGCTGAGACAACATCGTGCTGCCAAGAGTAACTCATCTCCTGCAAGGACATCTGAACAAGAAGTGAACTTGCTCTTGAACTGCCTAGTTTGCAGCTCAGCTTTATCAATGTAAATGGCGATCAGCAGTTGTTTATGTAAAGATGCTAATCTAAAAAATTCAGACAGCTTAGCGTCAAACACACCTCCTCACAAGCTCTGTTACCTGGAGGCAGCAGAAAGTCAGAGGTGATAAACATTTCAGCTACCCTAGGTAACTGGTTCAAAGCAAACACAAGGTGACACCTAAATGTGCTTACCTCTGCCAAAAAGAATTACCCTGGTTTTAAATTTTTATTTAGTAACTACTGTTAGAGCACAAAGAGAACACAGAAATACTCATCTATAGAAGATGTCTTTGATAGGAGTGATGTATTCTAATAATTTTGGTCTCAAAACAGTCTCTCAAAACCTGTGTGAAAAAAACCTGACAATACAGCCATTATCTCTAGCATTTAGTATCTTGTGCAAGCATTCTTGTTTCATCAGTTTGTCGAGCAACAGTTTAAACTTCCCAACAGGAAAACAACTGTACTGTGTTCCTAACTTCAAGAAGTTATTTCAGCTGAGTCACAATATTCCAAATCTACCTGGTATCCAAAATTTTTTTACACTTAAATGAAATCAAACCAAAACCTGCTTTTTGTCGTCCTCACCCTGAAGACAACAAATTCCAAGAACTCCTCAAAGTGCAAACTTTACGAGCAACCTGTTCTCCAACCTCCCAATTCACTTGTACTGCCTGCATAACAAGTATTAATGGATTGTTTGTTGTATTTACAGCAAGTTTATTGGGGAGAGGGAAAGTATTCTTTTACAAATGAGTCATGTTCACTATTAAGACTACTTCCAAAGAGAGCATTCAGAAAGCAAATCTGAATATATTACATTGACAATTATTTTTTCAGTATTTTAACATCGGCCACTTAAAATCGGTTGTGTTATTAGCACATATACTGATCTTTAAATATACTACTTCTACATAAACAGTGCAAATCTCAATATTCACATCAACCTGAAATTAATGCTGCAATTACTGTTGACATTCACATCAAGAAAGTAGTAAACTATTTCACATGAGCAATTCCAAAACCTCAGAATGCCATTATTAATATTAAGGAAACACAGAACAAACATGTTGGGCTTCAAAGCCTTGTTTTGATACACACAATCCCTGTAAACATGGATGTATTGTATTTGTCAATACTGGTATCTGATACAATGCTATAAATAAAACCACTGATATAAACAATTCCTATAACTTTTTTTGCATAGGGTTTGGATTAAGATTACTTTAAAATAGAGCAAGCTGTTAACAAAATCCTGTAGTCAATTAGTCTTCCAACACACAAATTTAGGCATATGATTAACTTTACACAAGGAGACTCTCTGACTTCAGTGGAAACTTACACATGTAAGCCTTCGCAAAACTGGAGTCATCTTTAGCACTTAAGTTACCCCTAGTCATTGAGAATACAAGCAATAAGAGAGCCCTCCGTAAATTTATAAAATATACTGATTTAAAAGTTTATGCTGATGTTTCTATAAGTCACATTTATGATTCCAAACAGTTATGTACATACTATACTATCACAGTAGGAAATACTTCACTGTAGAACACCACAGTGAACAAGTTGTGAAGCACAGTGTTCAATATAATTTCCCTTTAGTATTCCCAGTGCATAAGTTGTTAACATCTACACTACACAAGGTGCCCAGGTCTAGTATTTGTTATATACAATGTAAAAGCAAGATAGAAAGAGCTTTGCAGTTTAAAGTAAGGAATGAAAACAGTGGGTAATATACAGGGATTCACTCCTGCACAGTACAGAATTCTCCTTCACAATGACCACAACCACCAAATAAGGTGGATTTCAGGTCATTCAACCGAGTAAAACAGTGCTCAGCACCTTGTAGGAAGAGAGATCTGAGTGCACTTTATTATAAAACATCTCCTTTTGATGTTATAAAGTGCAAAAAAGAAAACATATATTCTAATATTTTACAGTCACTATTAAACTGTCATATTTGCACAATGCAAAATTCAAATAACTTGGTACACAATTTGTATGGACCCTATAATAACAAATGTTGAAACTGGAGTTTTTGAATCTTTAAAAAAATCTTAGTATTTTAAAGTTATTGTGTAAATATAAAAAAAAATATAAATTATAATTAATTCTCGAAATAGATATTTTAACATGTGACCATTTTCCAAAGTATTCAATACGAAATTTCACTTTCTCTTATAGCATTACATTTTAGAATCTGTAAAACATTTTAAAAGTTAGTAACTTTAAAAAGTAGAAATAAAAATTATCATATCACAGTAATAGACACCTTGTCTTAGACATCTTTTACCCTAGATGTTTTTTAAAAAATTAAATAAATAAAAATAACCCCCAAGACTTATATTCCCAGTTGTTTAGAACAAGATATATGGAGTTACTTTTTAAAACAATGCAAGAGTTACGTAACGCTTCAATTTGCTCTCAAAATTCAAATGAATGGGATAGAATGTAAATTTAAAATTTAAAAGGCCTTAAAGTACTATACTGCTTTGATGCATTGTACCAATGATTCTTTACATGCATGAAGAATCAAATTCTATGACATTCTTCACAGACCTGGGTAAAAGCAGAAGATCCAAGTCTTCTATACATGTTACAGAGCTTTTCTTTCTTTGAACAGTGGGGAAGAAACTGGGAGGAAGATTCTGACACTGAGAAACAGTCTTCCTCCATGCTGTACCATGAGCAGCACAGCTCCTTACTTTGACTTTGACTGCACATTAGTCATTTAGCCCTAAGAGAATACAATGTTGGTTGTATAATAGTATTATACCATCTCCAGTGATACCAAACTTAATGCTAAAAAGAAATGTATTGAAATACAAAGCTAAAAAGGTATGACTGAAATACATTTTTAAAGCGACAGACATATTCCTGTAGCCTGGAAGCCACAGGGAGGAAGGCTGGGAGAAGACAGTATAGCTACTACCAAGTTTATAACCACTTAAATCTTCAAGACAGGATATTCTCTGCTTTTCAGTCAGAGAACTGGAAGATAGTTTCTGGGTTATTGCTGTCTGTAGGGTTTGTTGGCTGCAGTGTCTTTGTAGGTGTAGTTTTACCATGAGAATGAGAGGAAGAAGAATGTGAACTTTCACTGGAGCTGCTACGTGTCTCTGTGCTGGTACTTGTTTTTTTCATTTTCCTTCTCTTTGCAAGAGGTGCCTTGTCAACATTCTGGAGACAAAATCCTTCCCTTTTGTACTTGTTAAAGGCCTGTTTAAAGATAAAAGGTAATTCTAAGCTTTTCAAGAGGTTTAAGACATTTTACGGCTTGTAGCTTCTTACGGATGTTCTACAGTGAGTCATAAAATAAACTGTAATCTCTTGACAGATTCCTACTAATTCTTATTGAGGCTATAACAATAACTTTACTAGCCTTTACACATATTTAAGAGCCAAGACATAACATTATTAATTGGCATGTTCCACTCCTTGTTGTTTTTAATTTAGAAGTGTTTTTTATTAAGCCTTAAACCTATTTAAGACTACATTTTCAGAAACTACGCTTAGTTAAGTTACAGTTTTTCGTTCAGCCCAAACTATGTTGCGTTATCAGGACCTCTCCCCGTAAAAATTCCTTTCTTTTCTCTTCTTGGTAATAAGCGTCTACAAGTATTTCAGCATATATCTGCTCAATTTCAGTTTATTCTCTGTAGAAGAAATCAGGAGAATCAACACTGTGTTTGTATAATACAGTTGCAGTTCAAATGTTTTTAGTAAACGTGCAATGGTAGACAAGCAAGTCCATTAAAAAAGTATGCATGATATTAAAAACATGAACTAAGTATGTTCCAGAAATTTTACCTCGATACTGTAATCATAAGGACAAAAAGTCAAACAGTTACTTAAGTTAAATGGAAAGTTTCTTCTCTTTTTTTTTGTAACAGTTTGAAGACCTTTTAATAGATTTCTCTAAGAAACAGAGTATTTATAATCGCTTTCATTAACAGCTGTCTCTCAGTCCCCAAAACCGCATTGGTATAAGTGTCTTCAAGAAATTTATTCTTGTCTCATCATTCATGTTTTCACTGTACTTAATCATAGATGTTCAGGATTGAGGAAAAAATTGCAGCTATAAGCAAGCACTGAATTATAAGGACAAATACATCTTTTTAATCAAGAGAAAAACATACAAAAGTCTAGATTAACATATTACAAAATTTAGCACATGACATAAGATTTCTTAGAACTCACATGAAAAGTGGCTTTGACATATGTGTGCACCGCAGCTCCTGAAGAGCCCAAGTTATCAGGAGTCATTAGAGGGTTGGAGGACAGCTGGCTGCCATCCTGAAGCCATTCGTTGTATCTCAGGCTGGACATTTTAATTCTTTTGTTTGGGTCCACTGTTAGAAGTCCTAATAGAAATATATTACATTCTCTTAATTTGTGAGCTATTTATCTTCTTTTAATAGAAAATGCAATTATTTTTTAAGAAAATCTCACGCATTGCTTTGGTAAGTAAGTAATGACAGTATTTACCCTAGGTATGCCAATGTTTATACTAGACAAGACTCACACAATGTTATACTATCATTCTCTTCAGAAGAATCATTAAACGCAAGAAATTGCTATTTAACTGATAACTCACATCTCTTTTCACACAACCTCAGAACTACCAAATGATTTCTTCACTTAAAACCTGTCTAAGATGAAGTTCAAAAGAGTGATTCTCTACACAATCCACTGAAGTCTGAATCTGGAAATGCTTACATTTTTAGCAGAAAAATTCCTTACAAGTCTGCTTCTACAGAAATTCAGAACTCCATCTTAGTAGAATTAAGATTAGTGTCTATCTCATGCTGAAAATACAATTAGATGCTCAAAAGCTTGAGGGGAATCGAAGCACGGCAAATATGAATGAAGCAGCTCAGGAATATAGTAGTCTTGGTACACGCATTCAAGAATAGCCCGAGGGAAAAAATTATAGTAATACATTTATTTTCTGCAAAAGCTCAGCTTTTAAAACATTTATCTCATAACCTAGTGTTTTTATACAAGCAAAAATAAAAGAAAAACTCTGCTTATAAGTAGGTTTTAAAAGAGTGACTTCACTTTTTCTGAAGTTCTTCAGTTACTTCTAACCCCACTAACCTATCAGCATTCTCACTACATTGGAAAGCTCTCTACTAGGCATACAAGCAATTTGTAACGCCATTCTGATGAGTTCACCTTTACCCATAACTTGTATTAGGGGTCAGTACATAGCTCAAGTTGTGGATAATACTCCGTCAGGTTAGGCACTCCAATGCTGATCACAGCACCCAGATATTGTATAGTTCTCTAAATTTATCTTTTGAGATAAAAACATAAGGTACAGGAAATATTTGTGAATACATACCTTGAATTAACTCTTTAGCCTCTTCAGAAACATTTTTCCAAGCTTCTCCTTCAAAGGAAAATTCTCCCTTTTTTATTTTCTTCATAATTTCCAATGCACTGGTACATGTTAAACTTTTGTCTTGAGATTGAAATGGTACCTGTCCTGATAGCATTGTATACTGTCATGAGAACAAAAGTAGTATTAACAAACACAGTATATTTATTGACAACACTATTACTAAATGTGGAGTGGTGGTGTTTGCATCACCAGTGCTATACAACAGCACTGTGACTAACATAACTTCAAGGCTATAGAAAATGTAAAATATGCAAGACCTTCTCTGGAGTCCTGGTTAGAAAAAACATTCACATGTTTCAGGAAACTATGAACACAACACAATGGTATTTCTACCCAGTTTGTATCTATTGAAATTAATTTTCTGTAAATCAGAATGCAGGCTGATTCCTTCTCTGAACTGATACTGTAGAAAGATTATATGGATGCCTGTAAAAATCTTCTAACAAGAATACCTCTTTTTAGGAGCCAGATTGTATCAAGTATTTTTTCCATTTCCAGAAATGTTGAATTTAATTTACTGCTTAGGAAAAAAAATCTCCACCCTTGGAAAACATTTGTATTTGAATCTATTATTTGTGCAGAAGTATTTTCACCTCACTTGAATTCAGCATCTACCCAATTCAAGTCTGAAATTTTCTCAAGTCCTTTGCATTTTAACAAAAAGTAAACACATACAATAAAAAAAACCCTCAATCACTCACCAAAATGACCCCCAAACTCCACAGATCACAAGATTCGTCATAACCATTGTGATTCAAGAGCTCTGGGGCAGCATAATGAAGAGTAAAACATGGAGTCTTAAGAGGCTGATTATCAGGTGGTTTTAAACGAGCAAAGCCAAAATCAATTATTTTTATTTCTGAATTATCAGTTTCATCTGTAAACAACAAATTCTGAAAAGCAAAGAGAAAAATCAATCCAGCACTGGGTAGAAAATTGGTTAGAATACTTAAGTGTTAGTTCTTTCCTACATTTATTACTACAGAAAACTTACCATTATCTAGAAAAAAGGGGAACTGGGAGACACTGGGGAAAAAAAATGGAAAAGTAGAAATAACACTACTTTGGGATGTAAGAAAATGTGATGTGTTTATCTGCCTCCTGCATATCTGCAAGTCAGGATAGTTCTGTCTGAGATTATTAATGAAAATGGGTATTTAGCAGAGAACAGTGGCAAAAACAATTAGAGAAAATAACTGACAAGAAAAAGAGCAGAGACATGAACACAAATGGAGAATTGCCTTCATCCTCAAACAAAAGTAAATTTTCTTAAGCTTCCAGTTCCTTCTGGCACGTTGCAAATGACAACTTTCTTGTGTGTGGAACTCTTGTTGCATGTCTTGTCTTGTGACTAAATAGTCTGTGGTCCTCAAGCGGTAATACACTGAAGCCATATTGCCATGAACACAATCATGCAAAAGAATAACGTGAAAACGAAGGACGGTGGAATAGAAAGTGCACCAATAGTTCAGGAGTAGTACCAACCGCTGCCTGGCATGATCTCAAAGTCAGTATAGATAAGCTTTCTGGAAGAGTCCTGGGACCAATGGCATTCAAGCACTGAACATCACATAGCAGTCCAACCTCGAACAAATGGCCTACTCCTTACACCAAGGTAAAGAAACTTTGGTACAGCAGTCCCTGAGAGTTCCAGCTTTACAGACTGTAATGTAGCACTTCAGACTTGAAGACAGACAAATTGTTATCATTTCAGAAGATTTAATACAATCTATTCTTCTTTTCCCTGAGTATTTGTATTTGCCAAGAAAGATACAAGACTGAAGCTAAATCTTAGGAGAACTGGCTGATGGCAAGATGAATTAGAAATTATTTCTACTCCCCCCTTGAACTTCTGAGAGAAGAGAGAAGAGCAAAATTTTGCTGTTGCCTTTGCTGTTTAATCTATGCAATGCTAGAAAAAGTCTCAATATTAGAAATCCTATAGTCCTATGTAATTTTGTAATACAAAAGGTGAATGACTCAAAGTAATTAATTTCAAACTCATCAAGAAGGGGAAAAAAATGACTGCTGGACTGCAAGCAGATCAATAAGGAGAACCTGAGAGCATTGATTACGGATAAAAGCGAACTGCTGCTACAAACCAGTATTTTTGCATTCTGTACTGCTGTTAAAGCTTAATGCACAATCAGAAAACTCAGTTTCCCATATTAAAGTGTTGTGCAAAATGGATCTGAAGGAAGTCTAATGTCAGCAAAAGTATTAATACAATGAGGACAGGAGATTAATACAATCATCTTTTTTCTATGGTGATGTTATATAGCCAACAAGTAAATAAAGAACTCCAATAACATTGGTTTTAAAAGACCTCCTTTAAGACAAAAATGAAATTGGTTATGTACAGAAAGAAAGGTACAGTCCAAATGTCCTAAGTTGGGTTCAGACTACTTTGTTGATTAGGTAAATAAAGCATGTTTCACAAAACCCCACACTTAAAGCTATATTCCACATATATTTTAAGGATATATAAACATTGTCTCTGCCTTGGTATGTTTTTTCTAATATCTTTAGAACCTAGTTTACAGGTTAATGATCACTTCACAGAAACAGTCCTCAAATCCTCTACTCAGAGGCTCCAAATGGTCACATATCCTACGTGAATTCTGTATTTCTGTAAACGCTCTATTTTCTATCCAGTAATTTGCCTCTATTTTGCAGAGCAATATATGTGATCTAATTACTATTGCTTAAACAGACGCTTCCAGTCCATGCAATTAAAAAAAGTCTCATCCTCAGCGACATGTAACCAGCCATATTTTTTTAAATAGACTTATCGGTATCCCATTAGATGTCAAAGTTGAACATCAAAAAATCTGACTGAAGTTGTTAGAAAAGAAACAGAATTTTCTATATATCTCTTAACAGAAAGGTGCACTAACCACATCTATATTGGGAAGCCTGTGTATCCCATACTAAGTTCATGTCTGAACTTAAAATAGTACCTTTCAAAACAATAAGCAGGAAGGAGACAGGCTGGTTAAGTCCAACTTTGTGGAGGCAATGCATTCTGCAAGCTGTTTGCTAACCCTTCATTAACCTGGACTTCCCAGACTTCTGTTCTTGAAGATGATCTAGAATTGAAGACTGCCTAATTTACCATGCAGCTGAAGCTCTGCTTTACAGAACCTGACTTTTACATTCAAGATGGTAATAAGACTGAAATGATGACAATAGGAAGAAAGAAAGGATTTCTGGGTTTTGCCCTTTTAATAATGACCCGTTTCAAAAGCTGTTTTCTTTCCTTGATGATGCCAGCAGAGAAACTTTTTTGAAGACTCCCATTTTCAACTGACACATTAGAATTTCACAGTAGCCCCTCTTTATTTAACTGCTTATTTAGTACAGAGACTCCAGTATAGAGATGTTTTCAAATGCATTTATTTGGGACTGATTTTCAAAAACAGTTTAATACCAACACCTAGTAGACTTCTTTACCTGTTGAATTGCAATTACTATAAAAGAAGTAAGTTTGTAATATATTAGAAGGTATGTCACACAAGGATGAAACATCGGTAGGAATGGTGGATCATTTTAAAATCCAGATACAAAGGGAGTAGCTATTTCCTGAGGTACGATGACTGCAATCACCAATACAATATAACATCCTTACTGGATGAACTAACATCAATCTACACTATTCTTGGGCTGAAGAAAATTAACACATATCCAAGCCCATTGCTGGCAAAGAAAAAGGAGCAAATACTGGCTCCAGGAAGCAGAACAAAGCCAGTGGTCAACCTTACCATAGCAAACTGAATTGTCTGGAAGGCAAGATGTTGCTGCACAATAAATATACCAGAACAAGTAACTATTGAAAAATATATATTAAATAATTGTTTCTTTTGGGAAACTACTAAACTCACTGAACTCAAATCACACATCTTTATTATCTGACTGCATTAGTTTGTGGTTCATTTTGTGTTTAACTGTGACAGAAGACAGTACAAGGGTGTTGCAGCTACCTCCAAAAGAACCCCTACCAAGGGAATTAAGATCAAACAAAAGGTGGAAATGTACAGGCAAAGTACCCAAGCAACCTAGCTCTGCTTGTGAACTGTTTCATACAATAAAGATATACTTACCACTAGTAAAATCTGTCCCGAAATAGGCAAAGAATTTTTTGAAGAAGTTAGAGTGTAAATTGCTTACAAAATTAAAAATGTTTCCTAACAGTTACTTTTACCTATGAACAGAAAAATATCTACAGAATTTGCTAAGTAAAAGTGATAACATTTTATTAAAAATCTAGAAGTAGGAAAATCTGTAATAAAAGCTGGAGGAATGGAAATACATCACATTCCAGATATTTAATAACAATGTCTAAAAATATATAAGCAAGTCACTATACCTCAGGTTTCAGATCTCTATGGACTACTCCTACATCATGCATATGGCTCACCGCTGAAACAAGTCTGCGCATAATATGACTGGCTTCAGTCTCACTGAAATGTTTCTTTTTCTGAATACGTTCAAGCAATTCTCCTCCCTTCAGCAATTCCATTACTAGAAATGTGTGAAGCTGAAACAATAAAGAAAAATACAGCACGTTAGAAATGTGACATTACAAACCAACATTTGTTCAGGAGCTAGGTGCTATTCTGATAGGTTCTCAAAGTTTGAGGAAATAAAACTGCTGCTCATAGCAATTCAGAAGGCCAGTAAGAAGCACCAAATTGCATCTCAAATGACGTTTTTCCCATCAATCTCACCAAGATTGAAGAACGTTGACGTCTTCCCCATCTCCACCCACATTTTTTTACAAAAATGCAATGCTGCCATGTAAATAGATAAATCTGTAGGTAGATGAAATGCCTTTCTTTAGGCTAACAAACAAAGCTGGAAAAAGCTAGACTTTACCTGTTTAAGCCTGTTCTGATGTAGGGATACATTTCTATTAATATGCATAAGGAGTTAGCCATTTAATGTTACCAAATCTTTTAAAATCACCCTGAAAAATTACTGTGAAATCAAAGATTTAACTAGAATTTCTTCTGATTTCATCCCCTACAGGGTAGTAGCCAAAGCTACTCTATCATTAGAATCACAACAGACATCTTCTCAAACATTAAAGGAATGTTTTTTTAATTAAAAAAGTAATAGTAGTTCATATGGTTGTACTTTTCAAGACAATCAATAAGCAGTGGCTTCCTTGATTATAAGTCAACATTAGCATACAATCAACTGCAATTCAAGTGTCTTGCCATTAAACAGCAGGCTTCTCAGGACAGGAAATCGAAGTTAGCATTCTCAAAAGGCAATGGATGTAGGCATGTGATGGCTTGTAGCATTTCCGCCCCCTGAATGACAGTAACAAAAGTAGTATTTGCAAGCAAAGAAAAAAAGTTCTGGGGAGAGGTCAAAAAAATGAAATTCAAAGAAATAGTCAGGAACAGAAGGTGCACAGTATTTAGATATCAAGGAACAGAAGCAGAGCTATGCAGACAGAAAGCGGTAACACTTCTTAGAACAAACAAGGTGTCTAGTAGTCACATTGTTAGTACTGCTTGTAAAATATCATCTCCTGCAGATTTTCTTTGTGTCTTTGGAAGAGCTGACAGGAAAATCAGAAAGGATAAAGAGACTTTTCTCTGCTAGAAAACTTCCTGTGGCTCACCAAAAAAGACTGCAACCCAATACTCCATGGTTGAATTACTACTGTAGAATTTGATCAGACTGATATCAGAGCAAGTTAAAAATCAGAAGAACTTTTTTTTTAGAAATTCCTGACTATAGTCATTTTACTCAAAGGAAAGTGAAAAAAGTGTCCCATTCCACACACAGGTACTCATAATGTACATAAATGCAAAAAAAGGCTTCTTTATCCTTAAAGATTACAGTACAGATTTTTCATCCTCTCAGTTCATTTTAGAAGTGCTCCACATGAGCACTTTTCTGGTCCTTGTATAAACAGCATGATGGGGATACATGGGGAGGCAAGAGAGCCCATGTTCTATTACAAAATCATAGACTAGAACCACCACAGTAGTTTAGGGTGGAAGGTACCTCTGCAGGACATCTGGTCCACACCCCCAGATGAAACCAGGGCCAACATCCACGTTAAATTAAATTATGGCTTGTTACATGCTGTCGAGCTTGCATTACACTAAGGAAAAAGACAACTAAGGTCTCCAAATCAACCCTAAACTGATCTCAATATGCTTTCAAATAGAGGCTCTAGTTTCACATTTGGAATTCAGCAAGCTACTTGATTATCACCATTAAATTATTAATACATAAGAAAAAAATGCTAGATATGTAATCTTCATACACATGATTTCCAAATCATTTCACAAATATTATTTTAAGATTCATTACAAACCTGAGGGAAGGTGATTAGGTAATTTAGTATCATAGATATGGAAACAGCCATGAATATATTGTATGATGATTAACAAAGCAGACCAAGGACAGAACCAGAAACAGAATCCAGGACTCCCACTCTTCCAAATACTTTTTTTGATTTCCTAGAGTAACTGCAAGTTCCCTTGAATGTAGAACTTCTGCTTCATCTTCTGACTAGGCAAAAGCCCTAGGAAAGAAGTTGCCTCCCCAGTAACAGTACACGTCACTCCTAAAAGTTCTTGGGAAAACACATGGCAATCTGTTTGGCAAGCACTGATTATAGTTTCTTCAAAATACCTGGTCATGATAAACTTCATGTAACTTCACTACATTCGGGTGTCCTTCGCAGAGTTTCAGAGCTGTTATTTCCCTCTGGGTGTTGGCTTCCATTCTGGAAAAATTGAGCAGTCATTTTGTACTAATTTTACTGAGCAAATTGCACATTCAAAGTGTTACACCTATTTTTTTAATTGCTTGCAATCCAGATTTTTTAATGTTACAACCACTTGAACACAATTAAAAGCATATTCAAAGCTGAGCAAAACTCTCCACATAACCCTGCAAGTTAGGACATCAAAAAACCCACACCCAAATCAAACACTGTTTTTGATGCAACTGCAACTTGCTACAGCAAAAGCCGAAAGGACATTATAGAATAGTTTTTATCTAAAACAAACCTTTCCCTTAGTCCAGGGCAATTTGACTTCACCTCTGCTCCTACAAATATTTGTTAGTTCAGCTTTATCTTGAAGACTCAAACTATTGGCCCAGTCCTTTTCCATTCTTATAGGAGATAAGTACTTCCAAAGCTGTATGGAAACTATAAGTTCCTACTAGAAAAAAAGAGTAACACCATCTATATAGAAACTCTGTTACACAAATGAACCCTTAAACAGGGCACTGTAAAAATCTGAAGTGGAATAGATATGAAGAGACTAGCTCCAGAGCAAAAATCATCACACTAATTCTCTTTCAAGTACTGAAATCTATAGCCAAAAACATGAATGTAGTGAACGTTATAAAAACTATGTGAATGGGGACAGAGCAGAACATTTTGTTTTCCACTAAATGTATATGTTGATTTATTTTTGGCAAATAATGCCTGAAAATTTTTGCCAAAACTCTCTCCAAGAAAGGCTAATCCTGTACTGACTTACAGAATGGCCTTAAGGGTAACACACATGTTCTTAATTTTTGGTTGCATTTCCCTGCACTCCTGCAATTAGGACCAGAACCATGAGAATTTTGTGCAAGACAGTTCTGTTTTTCTGCAGGCTTCATATAATCAACAAGCAAACTAAGCTGTTCCACCTGCATCTCTGCTGATTATGTTGTTTAACCTGAAAGTGATTTCAGGTCCTTAAGAAATTAAAAAAATCTGACTTAGTCTTTTTCCCCTAAACTACCATCAGGAGGAGGTGGACCTAGGAAACATATGAAAAAGGTTCAGTATCATGAACAAAAACCTGTGCATGGACTCATGTGAATATTTGCCCTCTATAAACAGTTACCATCTCAGATTCTAAACAGACAATATCATGAAAACAAATGGGAAGCTCTAAAACAGTAACTCAAGCAAGTTTACAGGACTCCACTGTTTCACTGGCCTTCAGACACACTGATAAACCTCAAATTGTTGGACAGATGCAAGTCCAGCACTACTAGCAAAGCAACACCACAGAGAAACTCTTGATCTCAGCTTTCACCTCAAATATCATAAAAAGGTTTGCCTAGGTGTAGGATTCACTTTTTTGGCACCTTTGATGGGTAGGAGTGAAAGACTGTCTGACTTTGAGGCAAAGAAGTTACTAGAAACCTATTACACTTTTCCTTTTAGCAAGAGTTACCAGTGTGGTCCTCAGAGCAATATTATTTACAGTTTAATAGTTTCTTATTCAAGGCTGGTTTGTGTCCAGCCATTTAGAGTGTGGGTTTACTGCTACCTCTAAGTACTACACAAACATGCTCTCAGTCTGCTCACAGCCTGTAATCCTAAAAAAAAAAAAAAACAACAAAAAAAACTCTGTATACAGACCACTTCTTACCTTCATTTAGCCTGGTCCACCAAGATGAAGGAGAAAGAGCAAAAGAACCTGTGACTAATAATCATTTAGGGACATAATTTCTAAAAGTTTAGTTCTATGGGAAAAGTTTGCTCACTGTTATCCAGAATAATAAAAAAAAAACATTAGCTTAAGATGAGATAGGAGCACTGATTTGCAGCTCTGCATGCACCACAGAAAAAAAATTTTGAATGTAGACACAAGACAGAGATTTCCAGATTAAAATATCCAATGTAGGTGTCTACTGCATACTACTTGTCTAAGGCCTTATTATAATGAGTGAAATTCTAGTTAATGAATCTCACAGGGTGAACTAGTTCATGGTAAATTACATACCTAGAGCAGGATTCAGTGGCCTAAGCATAGGAGAGCCTGGAAGACATCAGCCATGAAGACATCTACATAAAGGTAGTAGTCACAAGACTGATGGGAACTGAAGGACAGAGAGGACACCAACAGATGCTAAAATGGCACTACGTAGATGCCTATGTTTAAGTTACTGAATCCCACTGCTACTGCTTGGTCATTCGAGTCTCTCTGTAGGCTCCGCTAATAGTTTTGAGTAGGCCTCCATTAATTGTAGCAGACCTTGGAAAACTGACTCAGACACCTACATTTAGGTGTCTTATTCTTGAACTTACCCTATCCAAAAAGCATGTGAAGAAACACTTAAGTCTGGTGGACAGTTACTTCTAGAGTCTAGAAAAACAGTCGTACAGACAAATGTCTTTGAGAATAGATCACTATGAACTATCATTCTAACAGCAGAACATTTACACTTTTCTTTCCTTTTCCTGCCAGCATTCTACAACACACTAGGGACACAGTTACTAATTTGCAGTGTAACATGAGGCTAAAAATCCATCCACACCTCAAGGAATTCCTTATCTTTATTTTTCTCTGGGCAGAAACTGCCAGAGATATCTCTTCTGGAAGAGGATCAGATGGTCCTCATGTACAAAGCAAACCAGCTTCCTCCATTGTGGTGTTCTCTTCAGAACACCAAGGAAACAAGATGCAACTTACAACTCCATAGCCTCATTCCATTCTACCCCCCTGCCACCCCTGGGTTAATTTGGTCTGAGGCAACCCACACTACAGATCCTTCTTAAAAACAATGTCCTAGGCAATCAATTGGGCTGCTTAGGCAAGGGAGCTAGCATAAGCCTACATTCAGTTCATTTAGGTCTAAAGATAGAAGGGCTTTATATCTTACTCTGGTTACGAGCAAAATTAGGGGAAATTAGGGTAAAATACAACTAGGAACAGGAAAATACTCTTTAGGTTTCTTCTTGTGTCCTCCCCAACGAGAATAACATTTTGTTTCAAAAGACTCTCAGAATCTTTCAAAGGTCATAAGGTTACTATAAGTTTCTGTAGATTCTTCAAATAGGAAATTATTTTAAAATTATTTTTCCACTTCCAAAAATGTAGTGAACATTATTCTAATCCATGGGTGACAGTAAGCAAAGAAAATATTTTTATTGTCTTATAGAATATTTATACCTTTTGCTAATTATTTTTACTGCATACTCTTGGCTAGTTTTCTTGTGTAAGCACTTTCGACAAATGGAAAAACTTCCTTCTCCCAATGGTTTCTCTTTCAGATCCAGTTCATAATGATGATAAAATGGAGAGTCCTGTTAGGAAACTGTCTGTATTTAGTTCTGCAGAATACTTTTAGTGTACACAGTCAAAGACAAAGAGTAAAGTTTCATGAGAATTTTTCATCTACATTAAAAATTGTAAAAGAGCTCTCTTTCTGATAAAACAGCATCTTAATTTCTATTTAATAAAATACATAAACTTTATTCTAACAAAGAGTAAATCTTATGTTACATTATACAAACATAATCTCTAAATAAATCATTATTAATACAATAGCTCAAGATACAAAATATTCAGACAAACAGGATCAGAGATGGCTGTACATACATTCATCCACAAAACTATGTGCTCGTTTGATTACATCACAATAGCATGCATTCTTATAAGGCTTCACACAACCATATATACTTTTGGGCAAATCGATCATAGAATGAATTCTGATATAATTAAAGTAGCTTCAAAAATATCTACAATGATTGGCTGAATAAGAACTATCAGGAGTCAAATTACTATTACTACTATACTTCAGTGTTCTGGAAAACTAGACAATCACCTCATTTTCAGATTAAATTTCAACCACTTCTTAATAGTACCACATGCAAATTATATGCTTGGATCATCTCAAGAACCATTACAGAGAACAGATAAATCAATAATGACTGTTTGTAATCTGTAGCCTAGTTTGTGCTTGCTGCTTTGAAAGTTATATGCAGTTCCAAGTTAATCAAATTAATTCAGTTCTTGATATTATTATTACCTTCATCATAGCACTTCTGGCAATAGTTGTAGTTCCAGGCCGTTCATCTCCCATATAAAACTGAAGAGGATCTACTGTAGCTGCATTGCGTTTAAACAAAATAGAAGGTGCAACGAAAGAATATCCCTATGAAATTAAGACATCAGAAGAGGGTATGGCTTGAAATTGTTGCACACAAACTATCATACTGCATAGAAAACATTAGAAGTTTCAGAAGAATTTTTCAAAGAAATCAGAATTTTCATAATGTAACACAGAAACTGTAACTGGCTCATTGATGGGTAGATATTACTCTGTTTAATGTCAACAAGTATCTTCCTGGAATTAAGTTACAGGATTCTCCACAGTTATAGATAAAACAATAGTAATACAAAAATTCTGGTAAATAATGCTAAAAATCTGGCTCAGCTTCAATTGTTTTGCAATAGCGATAAAGGCTCATACTTCAAACTAGCTAGCTTCCCAGAACACCTTTAAGTTAAGGCACGAAGTAGTTTTTATGTTGTGATATAAGTATCAAACCATTTTAAATGGGAAAACAAAATAATCTTCATATTAATTATGTGCCCAGTTTGGGTATTGTAACAAGAACAGCTGTGACTACCACTGCAGGATGAATCAGATCGTATTATGACATGCATAAATTGCTTGCTACAGTCACTACAAAACTAACAACTTCCAAAATATGATGCTATATTCCTGCACATTATGCATTAAGCTGCTCAAAACCAGACAGTAAAACCAACAAGCACAAGGAGGGGGAGGAAAGCAATCCAAATTGCTGTTCACCTCTGCAGGTTTGCTACTAAGTTGGCTGCACATGAGCCCTTTCTGTGCATTTGACATCCAGACTGTACAGTCCAAGAACCAATCAGTCTTTAATAGCATGGAGGAGATGGTAAGGAAAGCTTTATTACTGATCTGTGTATAGTAGTCTAGTAATTAGAGCACTCCGTGGAAGCTCAACTAGAGCATAACGTGGACATAAGCAAACTAGATTGCTATTGTCAGAGCTGGCAGCCCAGGCTGATGGAGTCAAAGATGACAAGACTCATAAGGTACTGATTCTTCATCAATAAAGGACAGACTGACTTTAGCAGGTAGGACATTCAGCTGGAAATGGAAAGACATGGAATTTTATGTTCATGGTAGGACTGTTTCCACCTTTCTCATTTTGCAATTGCTGAACAAACAGTGCTGGGAACTGGGATTGGAAATTACAGTTAATTCCCAATAACTTAGAAGTCAGAAAAAAAAGCTAGCTATATATATGGAATTGTTCAATAAATGATTTTTTTTAATATTTATGTGAATTTTTAAAATACCTGAAATATTCTTTCTGAAGTCTGAGGGGTTGCTGCAGGAGAGTATGTCGGATCCATTTCTGTAAACTCTTCCGCAAAATTACTGACATCCAACTCATCTCTGATTACTGGTTTAAATGGAGCTGATACTTTTTTGGCAGCTAAATCATCCCAATTCATATTCTAAATCAAAACCGGGAAAATAAGTTTGAATCAAATGAAGATTTAACAGAAACAGATACTGGAAAGACGGACTTGCCCAGAAACACAGTCCTAACTCCATTTGCTATTTTCCACGGGCAGATGAAAAGCATTCCAATTATGCCCTACTAATTTGCCTAGGTAAAGGCAAGAAATGTCATACTTATTTGTAAGTAGACAGAAGCCAGTTTTTTTTTAAAAAAAACAAACAAAAAAAATATACCCCCCCCCCCCCAAAAAAAAACCCAAAAAAAAAAACCCAAACAAAAAACCTCAAAGAAATTTAACAGTGGAGATAAGCCAAACAATCAGCCTGACAGCCCTTGAATTTCTTCCTCTGTTTCAGAGGAAATAACATTTGTATTTTTGTAAGCCACAGTGGATGCATGCAGTATCTTCAACTTTTCATTGCTCATTTCTATGCTTAATTACTAATCCCAGCTTTCAGAGCCTTGAGAGCATAATGCCTCTGGGCTCTTACTTAAATGCATGGCTGGAATTATGAAGCACAGATACAGTAGTTAGGAGAAAATGGCCCTATTACTGTAAAGGAGTGGAATTGAAATAAAGTAAAGATTAGAAAATGTTGTACGAGGAAAAAAAACGCATCTTCCAAAACAAACAGTGAATAAAGGAAGTTTAACTTTACTTTGTCAGACTCTCTTCTAAGAGGAAGGAAATACAGAAGGGATGACAAGAAATTCAGAAGTTAAAAAGCCAAGCTATTGCCCATGCTGAATGTTACAAGTACACTGAAAATATTTATTTGAAAGGTTTAATTTATACCACCAACTTCAAATATCTCAAAACTTAGACTAGTTAAAAATATATTTAACTTTAGAAGCACCAGAAATACATACTTAAGTTTTTTCAAAGAAAGACACAATCTTAACCACAATGGATGGAACAGCACAGATGATGTACACAAATCCAATCTTTGTTCTTGTTTGAAACCAAGTGTTAATATACTGAAATCTGAAGTGAATTAAAATTTACTAAACAAGACTAAAGATTTAACTAGGCAAAGGAAAATACAGAAGAGGTCTTTATGAGTAATGGTGAATTTTATCAATATCCAAATTTTACTAATAATATTAGTGGCAAACTTTCTTTAAAAAAATAACACACAACATATAATTTAATTGTTTTCCATTAAACCTTCTGGTTTAAGTAGTGTGTCTTTTCGCTGCTTCAAGTAGTTGTTAGAAACAGACAGAACATATTAAAATATCTACCACGCCCTTCTTCTATGTACAAAATCCAAATACATAAGCACATAGATATTCTTACTACCTTCAATGCAATTATTCATGCAATTAGCACACCTCTAAGCTATTCTATTAACAAAACAACATAATTTTTTTAGACTTGGATTTCAAAGGCACTAATGTAGAGTAAGCGGTAGCTGTGGAGTTCTGTTGTTTGTTTTACCTGGAAAAAGGGATGCTGTTTGATTTCATCAGCATCAGTGGGACCACAACCTAGCCTTTTCTTGGGGTCTTTCATCAAAAGACGCTGAATTATATCCTTAGACAGTGCACTCATTTCTTGTGGATAAGGTGGCTCACTTTTTAATATTCTCCTGTAAAACAAACAAAACAACAATTATTTGGTAATTACTTAATGTGTTGAGTGTTAAATCAAAGAGTTACCATACATGTAGTAGCATTTAATATTTCACTTAAACTTCTATTGTACCCAAAGACAGGAGCATGACAAATGTGAAACCAACTTTTTTTTTTTTTTTTTTTTTTTAATAAAGAATGGTTTGTGGAAAAGCAGAGATGAAACATGACATCTGTAGGAGGTAAGTTATGTAACTTAACCCACAAAACAATCTTTTCATACACACTGAGCTTATTATTACTATTTAAAAGAAATCTCATAGCTACAACAGATAGCTCCACAAAGACATCAACTTGATGCCTAACAGCAGTCAAAAAACCAGAGAGAATTCCAATGTTAAAAATTATTAGAAAATAAAAAGAAAAAACCACACTTGGGCCATTTCAGGTTTGCCTGCAACTTGTATATTGTGTGCAGTGCTCATGCCCTACTCTCAAAAGGATGCAATATAACTGGAAAAGTTTTAGAGAAGAGTAACAAGATTAAACAGAAATACAGAATGTGTTTCATATGAAGATGTCCAAAAAAGGCTAGGACTATCCAGCTTAGCGAAAAAGGGGACTTAAGGGGACTGGGCATAATTTTCCCCTCAAAACGATGAACAGTAAAAAGAAAGTGGATAGGGACCTCACTGTCTCTTTTAATACAAGACCTAGGAGCCACAAAATAAAGCTAGCGGAAATTCAAAATCTTGGAAGTCTAAATAGAATCACATTTCAATACCTATCTTTTATATGTATAGCTCCCACACTTTTATATGAAGAGGAAGGCAAATTTTCCTTCAGTTACTGCAAATGCAGATATTGAAGCTAAGGACTCTGAGGGAAAATTGAGAATGCACACACAGACAATACATACCAAAGATACATCAACAGGTTTCAAAAGATACACACACAAAATCCTTTAGCATATAGAATCTCAGAATGGTTGAGGTTGGAAGGGACCTCTGGAGGTCATCTGGTCCAACCCTTCCTGCTCAACCACAGTCGCTAGAGCCAGTTGCTCACCACCATGTCCAGAAGCCTTTTGAATCGGGTATACGGTTGGACTTGATGATCTTTGAGGTCTCTTCCAACCATAATGATTCTATGATTCTATGAATATCTCCAAGGACAGAGACTCCACCACCTCCCTGGGCAGCTTGTGCCAGTGCTCAGTCACCCTCACAGTAAAAAAGTGTTTCCTGATGTTCAAGGGGAATCTCCTGTGTTTCAGTTTCTGCCCACTGCGTCTGGTCCTGTCACTGAGCACCACTGAAAAGAGCCTGGCTCCATCTTCTTTGCACCCTCCCTTCAGGCATTTAAATACACTGATGAGATCCCACTGAGCCTTCCCTTCTCCACATGGAACAGTCCCAGCTCTCTCAGCCTTTCCTCATCTGTTCCAGTCCCTTAATCATCTTACTGGCCCTTTGGTGCACTCTCTCCAGTCTGTCCCTGTCTCTCTTGTACTGGGGAGACCAGAACTGGACCCAGTACTCCACGTGTGGCCTCACCATTGCCAGATAGAGAGGAAGGATCACCTCCCTCAACATGCTGATACTTTATCTAATGCAGCCCAGGATACCATTTGCTGCCTTTGCCACAAGGGCACATTGCCGGCTCATGTTCAACTTGGTGTCTATATATCTATATATACATGCTCTCACTGTGGTGACTTCAGGAAGCACGATACATAGAAGGAGGACTTGAAGTGCCTCCACTAAACATAGCCTGAAAGATTTTGAAGCTATGGGAGACTGTGAGGATGAAATTATACGAGGTTGTGGCAGCATGAAAATCTCAATTGTTATATGTCTCTGATAGAGCTTAAGTTGATCACTGCAGGGCATTTCTATATTTTGTTTAGAGTTACTGCATGACCTATCCTTAGAGTCAGCTATCATATGGGAAATTTTTTATCTTGAAACATGTAACTTCTCAGATCACTCAAAAAATAGATGCAAACAGATTGTTTCCTAAATAATCTTGTCCTGCCAGTGTGGAAGGACAAAAACAAGTTCAATATACACATATCCAGGGGTTGTTTCTACTGATGTAGTATCCAAATTCAAGCAAACAAAAAGACAAAGCAAGCTAACCTCTTGGTTTAAGTAACACTGAAATGAGTTAGGAAAATACAGTCTGAATTTTAAGATGGATTATATCCTTAAATGATGCAAGGACGATCTGCCAATAAGGGTCTAAATCACAGCCGCTCGGCTAGCAGAAGAAACAGCATCCATAAGCCTTGTCTTCAACTTCTGTACACATTTCACTTTACAGAAAAGGGGAAGAAAGCACAATATTGCCAAATGATTTCTTAATTAGGAATGTTAATACCAAATTTGAACATCACTAAACACAAGGATTCTTACACACAGGACTGGTGGAGAAGTAAACATTCAGCCTCTTCAGAAATCATCCAGTTTCAGGAAGGGGAAGGGGGTAAGGAAGTAAGAAAACCTTTCTGTTTTAAGACAGAAGACGGGACATTTTGACAGCAAAGTTACTTGATTTACAGGATGGCCAACAAAATCTACAATGTCTTCTTAGCTTGAAAATCACTTCAGTTAGAGGAGTCCGAGGAAAAGTATTTATCAACTTTTCTGATGAGAGAATCCTGGAAAGAGACAAGTTCTCTTTGGGCTCTCAGAAGGAGGAAAAAAACTCACAACAACTCTAAGTCAGTATTTTTAAAAATTGATTTCTAAAGCAATGGGATTGAGACTCTGCGACATCCTTAGAATCTGAAAGAGAAATTCTAGAGTATTTTCCTGTCTGAAAAATCTGAGAGATTACAGACAGCCAAGTCAGATTAAAATTTGAAAATGTCTCTGAAAAAAGATGCTGAGTTGGGATGATTGGTAACATTGGTAACAAAGACAAGAAATGAGTACAATTTCTCTGTACAGCCTCAGAAGATCAGTCTCTGCAGTAGTGATGCTGGTAAGCACTAGCAGTAAGATTCTTGCCCATGTGTCAGGCTTCTGATGCAAATACAATGACATAAGAAAAACAGAGTGGAACAAACATATGCAGTGGAAAGTCTTTTATAGAACCCAGTAATGCAGAGTTACCAGAAAATTCTTCATCAAAAGAAGTACTTCCACAGTAACAACACTAGCAAGTCTCACCCTTCTAATTGCAAATTTCCAGTGACATATTGCATGCCTTCAGTCAGCCCGAGAACTGCAATCGGTCGTACCACTGATGTCGTAACTGAGCAGAGAATCCCAGCTAAAGCTGAGACAGATTTATAAAGTAACTTTTCGTATCACTTGACATTTTCCTCTTTGGGTAGAAACCACTCCTTAAATTCTTGCATGAAGGAATCCCCTATAAAGATTATATCTGTCAAAACAATTAGCATATATATTTTGCCAATAATACTTTGATATAACATTGTATTTTACCTAATGGAAACTTCTGTGGCAACAGTATCAGTAATTCCTGCCTTTTGTCAAGATTACGGTTTTAAATTTTTTTTTTTCTAGGCATTAAATAAAAATGAAGTGGTATTTAGCTATGTGAAAAGCAAGCTATGATGTTATCACAGAATCATAGAATCGATTTGGTTGGAAAGGACCTTTAAGACTATCAAGTCCAACCATTAACCTAGCACGGCCAAGATCATCACTAAACCATGTCCCCAAGCACGACACACCTTTTAAATGCCTCCAGGAATGGGGTGGAGTCCCCTTTCCAATGCTTGACAACCCCTTCAGTGAAGAAATTTTTCCTAATTTCCAATCTAAACCTCCCCTGGTGCAACCTGAGGCCATTTCCTCTTGTCCTATCACCGGTTACGTGGCAGAAGAGACTAACCCCCACCTCACTAGAACCTCCTTTCAGGTAGTGGTAGAGGGCGATCAGGTCTCCCCTCAGCCTCCTTTTCTCCAGGCTAAACAACGCCAGTTCCCTCAACCACTCCCCATCAGACTTGTGGTCTAGGTCCTTCACCAGCTTCATTGCCCTTCTCTGGACACGCTCCAGCACCTCAATGTCATTCTTGTAGTGAGGGGCCCAAAACTGAACACAGTATTCGAGGTGCGGCCTCACCAGCGCAGAGTACAAAGGGATGATCACTTCCCTCGTCCTGCTGGCCACAGTTTCTGATACAAGGCAGGATGCCGTTGGCCTCTTGGCCACGTAGGCACACTGCTGGCTCATGTTCAGCCGGCAGTCGACCAACACCCTCAGGTGCTTTTCTGGCAGGCAGCTTTCCTAAAGCGTTGCCTGGGGTTGTTGTGACCCAAGTGCGAGACCTGGCACTCAGCCTTGTTGAACCTCATACAATTGGCCTCAGCCCATCTATCCAGCCTGGTCCCTCTGTAGAGCCTTCCTACCCTCCTTTAGATCAACACTCCCACCCAACTTGGTGT